TGTGTGTGTGTGTGTGTGTGTGTGTGTGTGTGTGTGCGCGCGCGCACGCACTTGGGTAAAAACACACAGAGTTCCACAGTAGACAGCCATACAAACACACAGCAGTTCATATGTACATTCAGACATGACCCCAAGCCCTTCACCCTAACACTAAAACACCCCACATCCACAGAGAGCCGTTCCTAGATCCAAAGACTTACTCAGTGGAAACAAAACTCAGAACAGTCACTGGGGACGTGTGGAATCAGGCAGGCAGAGACAGGAGGAAGGGGAAAGACACAGGCACAGTGAGAGACAGATGGGAGGGACTCCTGTGCCAGAAAGGAGTGGGACTAGAGGAGGGGGTGTCAGACCGTCCCTGCGCCATGAGTTGCCCTGTTTATACAGGAAACACTATGTGGTCAGGATGGAGTCAAGGTCATGCAGGGCTGGGAAGAGAAAGGATCCTGTATGCACCCTGGTTTTTTTTTGGGGGGGGGGTTCCCATGGAAATAAAAAGTGTATGTGTGTGTGTGTGTGTGTGTGTGTAGATATGCCACTTTGGGATAGCATTGAAATACCATCCATACACGAAGGCCAATGCATATTGGCAGAAGCTGACACAGAATGAATGTGACTGTATATGTGTAAGTGTGTATCTAAAAAACTGATATATAAAGCTGTGTAAGAGCCAAATGTAGGGATTCATGCTTCTAATCATAGCATATGCAGGATTATAACTCCACGCCAAGCTATATAGGAAGTTCTAGACTACATAGTCAGAACCTGCCTCAAAAGAAAAAAATCATAATAATAAGATTGTAGAAGTATGGTTACATCTGTGCATAGACTGTAAGGCTCATGGGCGTAGAAGTGTGCCTCTTCTGCTCACATCTGTGTCCTCATCACCTAACAGAGGGCCTGGCACTGAGTAGACACCCAATAAATATTTACTTAAGAATAAATGAGTGTCATGATGAAACCCATTATTTGGGGGGAAAAGTAATTAGAAAGGAATAAAATAAGTAATAAAGAACGAAAGGACGCTCTGGGATCTCCAGCCTGGGAGGACCTGTCCAGACCAGAGAAGCTCAGCTCCAGCACAACCAGAAGGGGCGATGGCTATCTGGCAGGGAGATGATACAGGGCCCTGCCCCTGCCCGATGCTATCCTTCTTGCTTCGGTCCTGTGGTCTGTGGTCTGTCTAGGGTAATGAGTTTTGTGAGTTATTTTAAAGTGTTCCCTGGGAAAGAAGAAACGAAAGAGCTGTCTCTGTGAAATGTGGGGAGGAAGAAGAAGGAAGGACAGTAGTGGCCAGCACACAAGATGGATAGATGGGCATGCTGGCTAAACACACATTGACGAGTGGATTTATTTCTAGATAGACCAGAAGACAAATAGAGACACAAATAGATGCACAGATAGACACACAGACTGACATGGGTAGGCAGGCAGGGAGACAGTTCTGAAGACTGACTGACAGATAGGACAACTGACAGGCAGACTAATCAATAGACAGATAAATAGATGGACAGCTGATTTTTCAGAGAATGGATATACAGCTTGGTGTACAGAATGGAGCAGGCTGTGCTAGTGGCCTGCCCAACTGCCCTGCCTCACTTCCCAGCATCTCCCTGCCAATGGAACTTTTGCTTGGTATTTGGAGTCCAAGTGCTTTGACCCAAAGCACTTGCCCCAAAGATGAATCCTAACTGCTCATTAGAGTATCCTTATAATTCCATTTCTTTTGCTAGGGACTAAGAATAGAATAATAAGCATGGCAAGATGGGACATACCTTTAATCCCAGCGCTTGGGAGGCAGAGTCATGCAGATCTATGTGAGTTCAAGGCCAGCCTGGTCTATATAGTGAAACCTTGTCCTCCAAAACACATACATAAAAATGGAATAATAAACTTCTGACTACTGAACTATGGGAGGTTGTCAATTTAGGGACTTTTTGAGAAACTCTACCTCAGTCTTAAAAATGGCCACTGGTCTAGGGCTGGCGCGGTAACTAGGTGGGTAAAGTACTTTGCATAGGCATGAGGTCCTGAGTCTGGGGTCCTAGAACCACATACCGTGGTAGTGTTCATCAGAAATCCCGAAGTTCTTATTTCTTGATAGGAGGCAGAAATCAGAGCATCCCCAGAAGCTCCCAAGCCAGCCAGCCTGACACACGGGCAAACAATGTGGAAGATACAGACCAGCGTCCAAGGTTGCCCTCTGACGACTACATGTGCACTGTGGCGTATGTCCCCATACCCACAGCGACAGTCACACACACACACACACACACACACACACACACACACACACACACACACACACACATTGTTTGAGGAGACACATGGGATAATTGAACCTTTTCTCTGTTTGGGGATTTTGTACTTTGCTATTCGAAGATATAATGTGTTGAACTGCTTCAGGCTTTTTGAGATCCTGAGGCCAAAACTCAGGTTTGGCCTGAATTCAAAAGCTAGTGGGCAAAGAAGAGCAGAGGAGATATGTGGAAGGAATCTAGGTGCAGATGATATCTGTCGGCTACATTAATGAATTTGAGAATCTCTGTCCCCCAAATATCTTGCTACATTAGAGAGCAATTTTCTTATTGTCTAAGACCCCTTTGGAAGTTCTATTTGTTATTTGTAGCCAAGAGCATCGTAATACAGCACAAAGCCACCAACAAATTGGCAGAGAACAAAAAATGGAGAGATGGATGAGTGTAGAGGAAGACGTATGGAAGGGGATGGCCAATGGGATTTACTAGGAGACTGACAATAACACAGACATTAGCAGGCCCTTCACCTGACAAAGAGACAACCTACACAAATAGAGGACAGCATAGCCACAGTGGATTAGATGAGCAGCAATATGGACTGGGTCAGGGAGCCATAAATGGAAGGACTGACAGATGGAGACATGGAGAGTCATCCAGGCACTGCCGCTGTCTCCTGGAAACCTTCAGTCTGAGGAGGATTTTCTGTGCACTTGTACCTACCTCTGCACAATCCTTAGTCACTGTCGTTCTGTTTCGTGATGGGTCCTGTCTTAGTTAGGGTTTTTATTGCTGTGAAGAGACAGCATGGCCACGGCAACTCTTACAAAGAAAACATTTAATTGGGGTGACTCACAGTTTCAGAGGTTTGGTCTGTTATCATCATGATGGGGAGCATGGCAGCATGCAGGCACTCATGATGCTGGAGCTGAGAGTGCTACATCTTGACCAGAAGGCAGCAGGAAGTTGACTGATGGTCACACTGAGGGAAGTTTGAGCAAAAGAGACCTTAAAGTCCACCCCAACAGTGAAACGGTTCCTCCAACAAGGCCACACCTCCTAATAGTGTCACTCCCTTTGGGGTTATTTTCTTTCAAACCACTACAGAGTCCTTGAGGATGGAAATCATCTGATCTACCTTCAGTGTCTCCCTTCAGACCAGTGCAGATCTGAGCATGCAGTAAGTGCTCACTACCTACTTGGGGAATGAATGGTTGTAGATGTAGGGAAGTAGGGACTGAAGGGAAGGAGGGTGGGGGGCTAATAAGGGGAAGGCGAACAGAATGTTGCAGAGACAGTGGATGAACAGATACTTTGGTGAAGAAGTTGACAGACCTCATCAGGGAGGTAGATTGATAGCTGGATCATGTAGGTACCTCCATGTCAATTTCAGATGGGCAGATGAAGAAACAGGACGATAGTTTACAGATAAATCAAATATGGTGTGGGAGGATGAATATAGATGCATAGATCACTAACAGGCAGGCAGATGTATTATGGATGGGTGGATGGATGGCCAGCCAGATGGTTAAATGGATCCGAGAACAGGTAGGAAAATAAGTGGGCAGGTGGACAAAGGCAGGCGCATAGTCAAACTGGCCACTGTAGATGTGAGGCTAGTTAGACCAATTAAAAAGTGAAAGGAGAGACATGTGACTGTACAGACTCGCACACCGACAGAGAGAAACCAAGGAGCTGAGAGCTGGAAGGCTTGCCAGAACCCACGGATCCCGATGTTCATGTTTATCGCCTATTAAAGATTTCTATTAGCCATGTCATTTTCTTGTTTGGAAAAAATATCATTTTCGCTCCTCCTGTCTACCCTCATTCCTTTTCTGCGTCTCTCTTCTCCTTCTGGCCCCCTCTGCCCCCTTCTCTGTCCTCATCTGTCTCTAAGTGTCCCCATTGCCGTGGCTCAAATTCTGCCTTCCTCAACATTCTGATAGCATGCTATCCGAGTGACAAGATCTGCTTCTGAGCAGGGCCTGGGTGTGGGGTGGTGGGTAGCATGAGAACATCTGTCTACCCCCTGACCCCCTTCTAGCCACCCCAGGTAGTCCTCTCCACCTGGAAACTAAGTCTCAGTCCATAGTTCTCCTCCTGATTACCTCTCCTACCTTCTCCTGCCAAGAGTCCAAGAACCTAAGATCAGGTCCCTGAAGTAAGTTGGCATTGGGTCTGCTCAGTCCCTAGCCGGGGAGCTAACCTGGGAGCATGCTCAGTCCCGGGCCAAGGAGCTAACCTGGGAGCATGCTCAGTCGCAGCATCCATGTCACGTGGAAGGGGTTGCAGGTTAGTGCTGGAGGAGACGGGCCCACCACCCTCCCCACCTCAGCCTGCTGCCTCCATGTTTCTGCCCGCCTCAGCTCTTGAGCAGTTGTGAAAGTCCTGAGTCTCTAATTCAGTAATTAACTATTTGAGGCCTGGTGTGCACCAGGGACCACCTGGCACTCTGAGGACAATTGGGAAGCCAGCTGAGTCCCATTTCCTGAGGTTTCTTCCTTCTCTTCTCTACATGGATCCTGCTCGGAATGTCTCTGCTTCTCTTAGATGATCCGTCAAGGAATGTTCATGCAAAAGTCTCCATGCAGCCAGGCTCCCCAGCCCTTCCCAGGCCTCCCTCCAGCAGCTCCTAGCTCCTCCTACAGACATCAAGAGAACTGGTTTTTTAAGTAGGTCACTTCCAAGGACCATCTCAGGAGGCCATCCCAAGATGATTCTCAAGTCCCCTGATTCTCTTCACAGGGTCTGTCACGGACCAGGGACTGGCAGAGGAGACTTCACAAGGATGCAGGTAGAAGACCCCACCCCCACCCCCCTCACCCCGTGTACTCCTCAGGCCTCATCTTTGCCCCTATCTGCTGCCTGCTGTTTCTCTCTGCTGTGCTGTTCCAGTGAGGCCTCCTGTCACACTGGATCAGTGTGGCATTCGAAGCTCTGCCCCGCACGGTCCCAGCTCTGCCATTTCTATCCGCACAGCTGTCCGGCTACCTTTACCCCACCTCTTCCTAGCTGTGTGAACACAAGTTAGACTGCGTAACTTCTCTGTGCCCCCATTTCCTCATCTGCAAAATGAGGTCCAACCCTTCCAGACCTGTCAAGAGGACTGAAGTCGTGTAAGTAGGGCACTTAGAACAACCCAACAGACATCTGTAACATGAAGTTAGTTGCTTTTCTGTTGTGTTCTGCTCTGTGGGTGTGGGGTCTCAAGTTCAGAGAGGGGAGCCATTGGTACTGAGTGAATGGCTCGTTTGTGCTAAGGATCCTACTGTGGTGTCACTGGAAAAACCCTGGAGAGAGAGGGCTGTGGGAGTAGAAAATGCTGGATGGACCTGTGACTACTTTGGTTCCAGACCTGGCGCTGCCCTTCTGGCTGGAGGACTGGCGCCTGGCGTTTGGACATTGTAACTCAGGTGTGAGGTTGCCTTGGCCAAAAGCCATTTGAGCATGAGGAACGTGTTCTCAGAGTGGTCACAGCCTTTGACAGACAGGGTGCTGAAATCACTGCCATGGACCCTGCCTCCCGTCGGCTGAAATCAATGCCCTGTTCTCACAGTGTGGTTTGGGGGCTACAGGGGGAGGGGTCAGTTGAGTACAGGAGAACAACAGTCACCAAATTAATGACTCACCTGGGGTCAGGAAGTCCAGGGCCACCTGGAGATGAATTATCTGGTTAAGAAGCCATGACCGGGTGGATCAATGGAGCCGGGGTTTTGTGGTTTATTACCACACTGTGCCCCTGGGGCTGGAGCTCCCAGGAACACCTGCCTTAGAGCCCATGAGGATTGCTGACTTTCTTAGGTGTGCCCAGCCCTGGTTCTCTGAGTATTCGGGGAGCTCAGAGCCCTTCTGGGGAGATACAAGCCCTGACGGCCCTCCAGGATCAGATGCTAGGTGGAGATTACTATGAAGAAAGCCCTTGGGAGAAAAGCTGTGGAAGGTTCAAGAAGGGAATCAGACCTGGGCCCTGGCACAGGGGAGCCGGAACCACCTCTCAGCTGTTTCCCAAGTTGGGGCTAGAAGGCTCAGCCTTTACCCCACACAGACAGGACATGGGATGTGGTTGGCCACAAGAAGCAGGAGTCATCTTGGGCAAGGCCACTCCCTTTAGCCGAAGCTATTCTCCTGTGGGAGCACCGTTGGTCCACTACTCCCAACAACTGAGGATAAGGACCCTCAGGAAAGGCGCCCCACAATCACCTTCCAAAACTGGGGAGAACAGGGCAGATGTAGGAAGGCTTCCATCGGAGACGTTGCCTGGGCTGATTCCAGAGGAAGGAGGGAGGATTACGCCGGCTAACAGTCAGGAGCAGGGCACACAGGGAACAGAATTTTCCAACAAAAGGAGAGCGTGTGCTAAAACCCAGAGGCCCAGGTGTCACAGAAGAGGGGTGCAGCTGGATACAAAGATCTGCTGCTCTGCTCCACTAAAGAGCTTGAGTTTCTAATTAAGGGGATTTTAGAAGAAGTATGGCATTGTAATTGCAAGTCGTGCATTAGAATAGTTTCTGTAGCTGTTTCCCAGATTACTCAGCCATGCTCTGCCTCAATTCCCTTATCTGTAAAATAGAGGTAGTGCCAATGTTTCTGCATGACGTCATAGCAGGAGGGCAAACGCAGTAAGCAGGAAACAGAGTCCAGGAGGGACAGGGTACACCATTCAAGGCACTTCCCTTGGTTACCTACTTCCTCCAGTGAGGTCCAGCCTCCTAATTTCTACCCTCTCCCAATAATGTTATCGAATTATGACTTTTGGAGGAGTAGGGCAAAGCTACATAATGCAACCACTTAAAGTTCTGCCTCTGAGTGTCATGTTTGGGATTAAGCCTCCAATACATGAGCCTTTTGGGGAGACGCTTCACATACAAACCGACACTATCCCAGACTGGACTGAGATAGCACTGGGACAGCTGGTGCTAACAGGTACTGGACAAAGATGTGATAAGGCGGAAGTAACAGAAAAGGTCGGCTTAGATACTTTTAAGAGGCACAATTCACAGGACTTGGTGATAGCTTGGGTGAAGGACATGATGAGAAAGATGACATTCTTAGTGACCCCCAGTTTGTATCTTGGGTAACTGACTGACTCCAGGCAGGGCGAAGGGTCAAGTTCACCCATGTGAGACGAAGCTGAGGTTTTTGAGGAGCTTCTTGAGGGAATGCTTTGAGGGTTCATTGTTCACTTCTGAGCTCTGAAGGGAGGCGAAATGTGTTTGTATCTGAGGGTGCAGGGCAGCTGTGGCCCTGGGTGTGATCACCAGGGAGTGTGAGCAGGGGGGAATTGTGGCCAATGCCATCATCCCATGGAGTGGGCAAGGGAGATAGAAGAGTCTCTGGGGAGAGAAGGAAACAGAGATGCTGCTGACTGAGACGCCAATGGAAGGAGAGGTACCGGTCATCACAAGACGGGGAGGGGCTTGTGGACCATAAAGATCCACTCTTAGTGAGTGCACTTGTCCTCATTTTCCAAAGAGGGATGAAGACTGTTTGAGGAAAATGTAAACATATAGAAGTCGAGGTAAGATCCCCTCAAAGGCCAGGCTCACCTGCAGGCTGTGCCGTCTCCCAGGTCACCACCCTGCCACAGTTAGCGCACCAGTGTGTGGGAAGCAGAGGGAGACCGGAGTGACTGTGTAAGGGAACGGATAAAGTCCTGAGTGCATGCATGTTTTTGATATGTGCACAGCCGTGTCAAGGACCCCAGTGCCTCAGACCCGTAGAAATGGCAAAGTGTGGCCAGGTCTGAGTGTGAATGTTGATTGACAGTGTGTGCAGAAAGCATGACCTCAGCTTCCTCCTCCTGGGTGTTTACAGCCTGAGACTGCTGCTGTTCTACAGAGACCTCCCACTGAGACTAGACAAGCCCTCCTCCTGTGCTGGATAATAAATGCCCTGAGTTTCCAGGTTGTGTAGTGGGTGCACTCCACCAGATTGAGCACAACCCACCCAATGTCAGTTTTTCTGTGTGCCTATATCATTTCTTCACTGTCATTTCTTCATTCTGGCATCACCCTAGTCAGGTTTCAGGACCACACTGCAGGATGTGGCACTAGTGGACGTGAAAACTGGTTGAGACTGGAGAACACTTGTGCAAATAGAAGGCATACTGTTAGCAATCACTCAGTGCTTGAAATCCGTCCCTCAGCATCCGTTATGATCCTTTTCCCGACATCAAGCTGCCGCCTCCATGTATTGGTGTCCTGTTGCCGCCTTTTCTAAATCCCCAACTACAGTTTTAACATGTGATCTCCACACAAGCAACTGAACTCTGCACTCAGCGCTGAGCTCTGCTTGAAGCATCTGCTGCTGTTCAAACCTAAGTCAGGCTTTTCAGACCTTGATGTGACTCAGAACCTTGGAGTAATTCCCATGCAGATTCCCGGGCCCTACTCCCATGCAGATTCCCAGGCCCCACTCCCATGCAGATTCCCAGGCCCCACTCCCATGCAGATTCCCAGGCCCCACTCCCATGCAGATTCCCGGGCCCTACTCCCATGCAGATTCCTGGACCCCACTCCCGTGCAGATTCCCAGGTCCCACTTCCATGCAGGTTCCCAGGTCCCATTCCCATGCAGGTTCCCAAGTCCCACTCTCAGAGTCTCTCAAGAGACTTATGCCCAAGGTGGGGCTCAAAGCACATGACTCTACAATATATTAAGATATAATTGGTGTGCAACAAGCTGCATGAATGTGAAGTTAGCAATTCCGTGGTTTGAGGTGAACACACCTGTGAAACCAATGCTACGATCAAGATGATGAGCATTCTCAGCCCACACCCAGCTCGTGTTCTGTTCATGGCCCTTTCTCCCTCAGTATTCAACCCCACCTCCAGGCACCAGGGAGCCTGCTTCTTTTCTTTTTCAAGATTTAAACTGTTTTTATCACATTTACTTATTATTTATTTATTGGGGGAGGGCTGTGCCACTGCACACCAGTGGAGGTCAGAGGATAATCCGAGGGACTTGGTTTTCTCCTCCCACCACATGGATCCTGGGATGGAACTCAGGTTGTTGGGCTTGGCAGCATGTGCCTTTACCAGCTGCGCCATCGCTCTGGACCGAGATTTTGTTTAATTTTTAAAAGTGATGTGTGTGTGTGTGTGTGTGTGTGTGTGTGTGTGTGTGTGTGTGTGTGTGACAGCATGTATGTGGAGATTAAAGAATAACTTTCAAGAGTCACTTAACTCCTACAGTGCAGGCCTGCTGTGCAGGTGTGTAAGTGCAATGTTCAGGGCAGATGTGCAGTGCCCAGTGTAGGCCTGCAGTGCAGGTGTGTAAGTGCAGTACTCAGGGAAGGTCTGCAGTGCAGGTGTGTAAGTGCAGTGCTCGGCAGTTGTGCAGTGCCCAGTGCAGGCCTGCAGTGTAGGTGTGTAAGTGCAGTGCCCAGTGCAGGCCTGCAGTGCAGGTGTGTAAGTGCAATGTTCAGGGCAGGCCTGCAGTGCAGGTGTGTAAGTGCAATGTTCAGGGCAGGTGTGCAATGCCCAGTGCAGGCCTGCAGTGCAGGTGTGTAAATGCAGTGCTCAGCAGGTATGCAGTGCCCAGTGCAGGCCTGCAGTGCAGGTGTGTAAGTGCAGTACTCAGGGCAGGTTGCAGTGCCCAGTGTAGGCCTGCAGTGCGGGTGTGTAAGTACAGTGTTCAGGGTAGGTGTGCAGTGCCCAGTGTAAGGCCTGCAGTGCAGGTGTGTAAGTGCAGTGCTCAGGGTAGGTGTGCAGTGCCCAGTGTAGGCCTGCAGTGCAAGTGTGTAGGTGCAGTACTCAGGGAAGGCCTGCAGTGCAGGTGTGTAAGTGCAGTGATCAGCAGGTGTGCCATGCCCAGTGTAGGCCTGCAGTGCAGGTAAGTGCAGTACCTAGTGTGGGTATGCAATGCAGGTGTGTAAGTGTGATGCTCACAGAGGCCAGAAGAGAGTCTTTGATTCTCTGGAGCTGGAGTTACAGGCAGTTGTGAGCCACCCAACATGGGTGCTGGGAGCTGAATTTTCATCCTTTTTTTTTTTTAAGATTTATTTATGTATATGAGTGTTCTGTCTTCCTGTGAGAGCATCAGATCCCATTATAGATGGTTGTGAACCACCATGTGTGTGCTGGGCATTGAACTCAGGTCCTCTGGAAGAGCAGCCAGTGCTCTTAACCACTGAGCCATCTCTCCAGCTAGAGCAGCAGATGATCTTAACACCTCTGCAGCTCCTGAACCTGTTTCATTCACTGTAGATTCATTTGCAGTTTCTAGAATTTTATGTAGATGGAATGATAAGATATGTGTTCTTTGCTCTATCTGGACCATCTCACACATCACAGTTACACTGAAATTCTTCAGCAATATCACACATATCAATGGCTCTCTCCTTTTATTACTGAAGAGTGGTCCCATCGTGGGAATCTTTGTCTCTCTGTTCACCTGTTGATTCAGGCTGTCTCCCATCTGAGCTATTAACCCACAAAGCACTGAACGAACGTGCTTTTCTTTCTTCTGAAGATGGACCACCTGCATCAGATAGTAAGTGCACATCACACCCGAGTGGCATGTGTCAGACTGTTTTCCAGATTGGTTGTACCTTTTACATACTCAACAGCTGTATGTAAAATCTCACTGTTGTCACTCTTGTCGGCATCTGGATGGCCGGCCTTCCATTTCAGACTTTGCAGTGGGCGGGCCGAAGCACGTCGGGGCGATTTTTCAGTGCATGTTCTTATGTCTGTTGGTTTAGTTATAGCTGGGGTTCTGTCTCAGTGGGCCGGGTGCTGGCCTCACACGTCAAAGCATCTAGTTTGATTCCCAGACCAGGAGCTGGCACATAGGCCTGCCATCCCGAAAGGAGAATCAGGAGTGTAAAGTCATTCTGGCTGTAGCTAGCTCCAGGCTCACCCAGGCTACATGAAAGAAACCCGATCACAAATCCTCCATCACAACAGAAAGGTTAAATCTCTATGTAGGAGAGATTGGCTCTGTGGGGGGAAGTGCTTGCCACACAAACCTGGTCCCACACAGAACTGACTCCTGAAAGTTGTCCCCTGACCTCCACACTCTCACCATGGATGCTTGCACCTGTACACACACAGACACATCATACACAACAACAACAACAATAATCACAAGTACAATTTTTACAATATTTTAAACCGTAGTATATTGCATCCATTGCGGGGGAAAGTGGGGTGGGTAGAGACCAGAGGACTCCCATCTGTAATGAATCATGTTGACATTTTCAAGTGTGTGTGCTATCTGCTTGTCGTCCTAGGTAAGTGTCTTGGAGTTAAGTATTCAAACCTTGGGCATTTGAAAAGCAGACTGTTAGCCTGGAGGCATGGCCCACTTAGCAGAGTGCTGGCCTTGGAGGCCCAAAGTCCTAGGTTTGATTCCCAGCACAGCACGAAGAACTGGCTAGCAACGGACCACATGAGTTTACAGTTAGCAGTTGGATGTTCTGAGGTGTGAACACACCCATGAGACCAACGCCACAGGCAAGATGAAGAGTGTTCTCACCCCACACTCAGCTCTCCCTGCTCCATTCACAGCCTTTTCTTTAGCTCCATAGAGAGGTGGAGCCCGCCTCGGATACGTGAAACCCTGCCTCAAAGCAGTAATAAAACGAGTCGCCTCCCTATTTTACTGTGTTCTCTCTTCAAGGCATAGATGTAAGTAAGTGTGTGCCTGTGTGTGTGTATGTGTGTGTGGCATATGTATGTTTATGTGGGTGTGTATATGTGTTTACACAGTTGTGCACATGTGTACACACACGCCCCAGGTGAGTCTTCCTAGATCCTTTTCCACCTTATTTTTTAAGACAGAGCTTTTCACCAAGTCAGGAGCTTATTGACTCCGTGAGGACCGGCTGGCCAATGAGCTGCAGATATCCACTGCCTGCCCCTGCCGCCAGGGCTAGCTATGCCATCCTGCATGCAGGTTTTTATGTGGTTATGGGAGATCTGAACTCAAGCCTCCACCCTTGCACAGCAGGAAATGTATTCACTGAACCATCTTCCCAGCCCCTTTCTGTGTTCGTTTATTAACCCGTGTTTTGCTGGGTGTGTATTTTGCTTTTCAGTTTTGTTTTGTTTCTGTTTGTTTGTGACAGGGCCTGACCGTGTAGTGTAGGCTAACCCCATCTCTTGACCCTCCCGCTTCCACCCCCAAGTGCTGAGGTTTTAGGTGTGCACCACTGGACCCAGCTTTCCTTTGTAAAAAGCAGTATCTTTCAAAGAACAACACTTTTTAATTTGATTAAATTCAATTCATTGATTTTTTTTAAAAATAGTTTATATTTTTGGTCTTAATTAGGAAATCTTTACCAAACTTGAGCACTAAGGTTTTTTTCTCTTGTCTTCTTAGGGAAGGCTTTGTTGTTGTTTTGTTTTTTGTTTTTTAGATAAGGTCTCATGTATCTCAGTCTGGTCCCAACCTGCTGTGGGGAGGTGACTTTGAACTTCTGATGCTCCCAGTTCCTTTATCTGAGATCTGAGGTTATGGGCGTGTGCTACCACATCACCGGGTGTGCAGCATTGGAAGCAAAGCCAGAGCTTCGCGCATGCTAGATAGCACTGTGCCTGTGTCTGAGACACACCTCCAGCTTACAACTGGTGTGTCTTGTTGCTGCACGTGGCCACCAGCTGTCCCTGTGTCATTTGTTGAAAAGAGTCTCCTTCTCCCACTGGATGACCCCCGACTTTTGTCAAGAATCAATTGACAACTTACGCCATTTCTATTTAAGACTATTCTATTTCCTTTGGTTTACTTGTCTTTATACTGATACCGGATATATGGTTTGAAATCAGGTAGTGAATGCCTTTATTCCTTCCCAAAGTTGTCTTTGGCTAACTGAGGACTTCATCATTCCCATATGTATTTTAGAATCTGTGGTGATGTATTGTGTATGAAATAAAGCTTGCCTGAAGATCAGAGGACAGGGCCAGCCACAGAGGTCAGGCAGTGGTGGCACACACCTTAATCCTAGCACTCGGGAGGCAGAGATCCATCTGGATCTCTGTGAGTTCAAAGCCATCCTGGACTACATGAGAGAATCTAGGAGAGAAACAGCCAGGCAGTGGTGGCACACACCTTTAACCCTAGTACTTGGGAGTCACGTGCCTTTAATCCCAGCACTTGAGCTCTCCTGCCTCTGCTACCAGTATTTGGGAACACACACGCCATTAATCTCAGCACTAGGAAGGAAATGAAATGGCTGGGTGGAGAATGGCATATAAGGCATGAGGAGACAGGAACTAGAAGCTTTTTTGGCTGAGGACTCAGAGGCTTTCAGTCAGAGGATTCGTGGAGATAGGATCTTGCCTTCCATTCAGCCTGAGGATTCGGTAGTGGTGAGAAGTTTCTCTAGTGGCTTGTTTCTTTGTCTCTGATCTTTCAGCATTTACCCCAATATCTGACTTTGGGTTTTTTTTTAATTATTAATACCATTTAGAATTCATGCAACAAGAATCCATATATCAATTTCTAAAAATAAAAGGTCTGCTGAGATTTTGAGATTGCAATGGTTCTATATATAAATTTGTGGATTATGACTATTTCAACAATAATGAGTCTTACAGTGATTAGACATACTATTTTTCTCAGGCTATTTGGGTCTTCTTTCAACCATGTTCTTATTGTATTGGAATTAATTTGTTTCTCCTGTGTGTGTGTGTGTGTGTGTGTGTGTGGTGGGCACACATGTGTGCATGTACATGTGAAAGCCACAGGTCAACTGCAAATGTTCCTCAGGAGCTGTCTACCTTGTTTATTGAGACAAAGTTTTTCACTAGGACCCGGGGCTCACCAGCTATGGCTCCTCCTGTCTCTGTTTCCCCAGTACTGGGTTCACAAGAGCACAACACCGAGACTGGCTTTTATGTGCATGCTGGGGATCGAACTCAGGTCTTCATGCTTGTGCAGCAAGTGCGTTATATCAATTGAGCTATCTCCTCAGCCTCGGCAATATCACCACCCCGCCCCCCAGCTTAAAATTAAACCCAGGGACTAGTCCATGCTAGACAAGTATGAGAGCATTGAGCTGTATCCCAGGTTGGTGGGTTTGGGAGCTCAGGTCTTTAAAAGTATACGTACTTTAGCTCTGATTAACCTCTAATATTTAACATTACTAATTTTATGCTGTTGTAAGTGGTAATATTTGAGCGGTCTACTTCCAATGTTCAAGGTTAATGCATAGACACATAGTATATGTTTTCTGGGTCTCTGAGGCAGCTTTTTATTCAGTTCAGCCTATCTGTGGGTAAGGCTTTGCATTTCCCACTGTCGCCCTGGAGGCCAGTTCTTTTGTCTGGGGAGCATACTTGGTCAGCCATTGGTTCTCCGTTTCCATTCTTAGAACCTTTTGTTCCAGGTCAAGATGCCTGGCTCCAAATGGTGGTCCTCTGACTTCTCCTGTCCTAGACTAGCTTCACCATCCAGTTACACCACCACTGGCCAGCTGTCAGTGGCCACCCAGGTAATACAGTCCTGAAATGCATCTGCCCTGTGTCCTCTACTTCTCCTCTGCTCCTCACTTTCTCTTGCCCTGGCTGCATCTCTTCTTAACCCCATTCTAACTGACTTCTCGGGTTCTAATCTCTTCCTTCTGCAATTTGTGCTACAGTTTCCCATCTTTACGGCTGCTTCGTAGTCCAGGATGCCGACTGGGGCTCCAGCATCCTAGGCTTAAAGGGAAGAAAGGCAATCCATCCAGTTCTCTGCACAGTGAGGATGGAGTCTGTCTTCTGTCGAAGAATCCACCACAAGGCTCTCACTTCCTGCTGGATGGAGTCTGTACTCCTCACTCTGATATTGCATGAACTTTCGTCTGTCCACCCAGGATCCATTCACTATTGGGTCTTTGGCGACAGAACTCATATCCACAGAGTAAAGTGAGCCAGGATTTTGAAACTCTGTTTCTCAGTATACCTTGAAGATACGCCACCATGGGATTGAACTGTGAGCAAGTAGAAGGTTCCACAGGAAGGCGGAACTAGGTGAACTGCCTGCCTTCCCTTAGTTTCCCCCACGTCTGAGAGGCTTTGGACTATGAGGTGACCTTAAAGACGCAGACACTTGCTGAGGCTGTACGGAAGCTGTGATCCCGGTGACAGCAGGGTCACCATGTAAGTCCCGGACTGCCAGGCTCTAAAATGATTTTACCTTACAGAACAACAAACCTTTTATGTTTAAGCGACTGTGATATGGCTGCACATAGTCATCTTTATTCCGGCTGATACATGTTTATAGCTCTATATATGGTGTCCTCAGCATACTTTCTGATTTCCTCTTATTTGAGCCCCCTACAAAGATGCTATGCTCTTACCAGGCTGTGCTGTTTCTTTATTTTGTGGTTGGGGGAGAGAGTAGGGGAGGGTGCATATGTGTGTGCCAGTTCATGTGCACGTGTGTGAACAGGTATGTGGAGGCCAGAGGACAACCTCAGGCACCATACACTTCATTTTTATTTTATTTCATTTTATTTATATTAGTGTGTGTGTGTGTGTGTGTGTGTGTGTGTGTGTGTGTGTGTGTGTGTGTGTGCATGTGCACATATATGGTCAGAGGACAACTTTCAGGAGTTGGTTTCTTTCTTGTATGGTGGGTCTCAAGGGCTGAACTCAGATCGTCAGGTTTGTGCAGTAAGGCTTTTACCAGCTAAGCTGTCTTACCAGGCCTACCTTGTTTTTAAATTTTATTTATTTTTATTTTATGTGTATGACTTGAGTGTTTTGTCTGCATGAATGTTATGTGTACCAAGTGCATGCTTGGCGCCCTCAGAGGCCAGAAGGGGGTGCCAGATTTCCTGGAACAGAAATTATAAATGGTTCTGAGCTGCCACGTGGGTGCTGAGAGCAAACCCTGGGTCCTCACAAACACAGCCATTGCTTTTATCTGCTGAGCCATCCCTGAAGCCCTGTCCACCTGGCTTCTTGAGACAAGGTCTCTCCCTGGGGTTTGTTCGTCTCTGCCTCTCAGCACTGGGTTAGAAGCATTGTACCAGGCACCATGCCCCGCTTTTTACGTGGGTACTGGGGTCAAACTAAGGGCCTCATGCACAGCAACCACTCCACCAAGTGGGACGTCTCCCCAACCCGTTTTCTGTTTTCTGGGGGCAAGGGATGCCTTTCTGTCTCTGTTTCTTCACTTCCTACTGATTGAAGTCAGACTCTGATGCCCTCTCCACCACCAACCCTCTGCTGGCTCTGCAAACCAAATGCGATTTTTTTTCCTCTTGTGAACCTGGGAGTGTTTGGGTTGCTTCCTTAGCGCTGAGTCTCTGCCCACTGTTGGATGCTTTTCCCTGCCACACTGTCAGTCTGACTCAACGTGCCAAACACAGGGTTAGTGTTCAACAAGGGTTTGCTGAAGGGATGCATGGGCAGGGTTAGTGTTCAACAAGGGTTTGCTGAAGGGATGCATGGGCAGGTGCAGGAATGAAAACACACAGAACATTCTGTCACCTCCCCCCCCCCCAATCCTGTGCATCCATGCATCTCAACCCTTCCAAGGAGACTGCAGGTTAAAAAGGTTTCCATAACTGATAGCAGAGTAGAGAGGAGAGCATGCACAAGAGCAAGAGGCTGCCTCTGTCTAGAAAGGACAAGGCTAAGGGAGAATTATTGCACTCGGCACAGGCTGCCTTGTGAGACAACAACAACTAATATTTACTAAGCACTTGCTATGTGCTGACGCCATGCAAAGTGATTTACACACATGATTTCATCAAAGCTCCCAGCAGCCTAGGAGGTTGGAGGTAACTGCCCCCCCATGTTAAAACTGAGACTGATCCAGAGAGGTTAACTAAGTTGTCCAAGGTCACAGAACTTGGAAGAGGCAGAGCTAGAATTGGGACTCTTTCCTGACTGATTCCAAGCCATGTCCTTTCCCTGGAGTTAGGCTGTATGAGACATGGCTGTCTGTCTTACAGAGTGACCTGACATTCAGGAGCCGTGATTGGTTTATCCCTGCTCACTCTGCAGAGCCTACACACTGTATCCAGAAGTCTCCACTGTAGCTGGAAGTCTCCACAGAATGTTTGGCATCAGAATGATCAAAAGGAGTCTTTCCCTCTGAGAAGATAGACATCAATTTCTCCACGAACTGCTAACGCTGGTGCGTATTCCAAATAAAGCAAACAAAAGACTGAAATGTGACGTGAAGGTAGATCGGCCAGAGACTGCAGAACCTGAGGAACAACTCGCTGGTGAGTTTTCTTTTTGTCTTACGCCAGTATCCCAGGCTCAAAGCTGAAGAAGCCAGCAATGTGCAGAATAAACAAACAGACAAACTGCTGCCCCTTCTTCCCTTTTCTCCCTAGTTAAAGGATTAGGAAATGGATAACCTAAGGAGACACGTTTTGGACAATAATAGCTCTGCTCCAGCAAATACCACAGGAAACGCTATAGCCCGCTCCCTACCCGAGCCAACAAAGCGGTCATGCAGGCAGGCAGAGCAGAAAACAGGGAAGACTGGGTGCGCATCTCTCCGATGGTGAGAAGCACTCACTAGAGGTATGTGGGGGCCCAGCAGCAGTATGGCACCCCTCCTTCCCTCTCTGCATTTTTTACCGGGGAGATACCGGGGAGGCTTGGCTAACAGCCTTCGTGGCCAGGATGATGTCGTTGGGGGCCTAGAAGGGGCTCAAACTACTCTCACGCAGCGGTCATTAGAGGGGCAGAGGGGAAATTAATGTCTCCCCCACTTTGCAGTTACAAGATGATGATCCTACCTCCTTAACTGTGCAGCTGTGTTAGAGGTGCTCAGCTAAAGGGAAAAGATCGAGATTCATCTAATACCCAAAATGTCTGAGTTTTAACTGAAAATCAGTCTTCATACTAAGAACCAGGAAGATCTCAAACTGAATTTAAAAAGACAGTCAGAAGATGTCAACAGAGAAATGGTAAAAAATGTTAGGATTATCCAACAAAGACTTTAAAGCAGCTGAAAAACACAGAAAAATGTTTCAGAGGTGCTGAGGATGTGACTCCATGGCGGAGCCTGGGCTGGTTCTCTCACGCTGGGAAAGGTAAAGTGCTGAAATGCAGCTTAGCGGTTGTGTGAGGTTCTGGGTTCCATCGCAAGGTCGGAAGGAAGGGAGGAAGGGAGGGAAGACAGGAAGAAAGGGAGGGAGGGGGGGAGAGAGGGAGGGAGGGAGGGGGAGGGAGGGAGGGAGGGAGGAAGGAAGGAAGGGAGGAAACCGTAGAGACCAGTGGGAAGTGGCTTCCTTTTAACAGTAAAGGACTATTAGTGCAGAATGTCCAGCAATAATCTTCTTTCAGAAATGTCTTAGTCACGGCTGTGTTGCTGTGAGGAGACACCATGACCACGAAAGCTTGGAGAAGACAGCATTTAGTCCGGGCCTTACTAACAGTTTGAGGATGAGACTGGGACTGTCATGGGCTTGCCTCCACCAAGACCACGCCCCCGCCAAGGCCACGCCTCCGCCAAGGCCACGCCCCCTGATCCTCGCTCATCAGTCCACCAACTAGGGACCAAGCAGTCAAACAATGAGCCCTTGGGCGCCATTCTCATTCAAATTACCACAAGAAATGAAGATGATGAGCCACTTTGGAATATAATTCTTACAAAACTAACATACTGTTACCATACATTCCTTTCTTTTTATCCAGAGGGAGTGAAAACTGTGACCACACAAAACCTACAGCAAATCTTCATAATAGCTTTATTCATATCACCAAAACTTAGAAGTAATTAAGATATTCTTTAACCGGTAAGCTATGTGGTATATGTAGATCATGGAGCACTATTCAGCACTAAAAGGAAGTCAGCTATTAAAGCCACGGGAAGTACGGACGCAACTTAAGTGCTCACTATAAAGTGAAGGGAGTAAATATGGGAATGCCTTGCAAGCATGAGGATCTGAGTTCAGATCCCCAGCACTCCCCTATAAAGCTGGGCAGTGGCCGGGTGGTGATGGTGCATTCCTTTAATCCCAGCACTCAGGAGGCAGAGGCAGGCAGATCTCTGTGAGTTTGAGGCCAGCCTGGTCTACAGAGATAGTTCTAGGATGGCCAAAGCTACACAAAGAAACCCTGTCTTGGAAAGGGGGGTTCACAGTGGTGTGTGCCTGTTATCTTAGCTCTACATAAGTAGAGACAGGAGGGTACCTGGAGGACACTGGCCAATTAGTTTTGAATTGATGAGCTCCAGGTTCAATTAGTGACCCTGACTCAAAAGATTAGAAAGCAATAGAGAAAGACACCTGACATTGACCTCTGGCCTCCACAAGCACTTGCACGCATGCTGTGGGATGTTCTCTATGCTGTGAATGTGTTGCTCTGATTGATTGATAAATAAAATGCTGATTGGCCAGTACCCAAGCAGGAAGTATAGAATAGGCAGTACAAAGAGAGAGGAGAATGCTGGGGAGTGGAAGGCTGAGGCAGGGAGATGCTGCCAGCCGCCATGATGAGAAGCAACAAGATACCGGTAAGCCACGAGCCACGTGGGAACTTACAAATTAATAGAAATGGATTAATTTAAGATATAAGAACAGCTAGCAAGAAGCCTGAGCCATTAGGCCATACAGTTTGTAAATAATATAAGTCTCTGTGTGTTTACTTGGGTCTGAGGGCTGTGGGAGCCGGACAGGAACAAGATAATTTCAGCTACACACACATGTGCACGTACACACGCACACACCACATACACAGAAGGACTGTTAGAATAGTAAGAAGAAAGATACAGTGAGCAAAACTATGTGTAAGTACAAAAAAAGATATTTCTTTGCTTTTTAAACATTCCAAATTACTTTTAACTGTTGAATCAAATGTTGAAATAGTCTCTGATGTATGTAGAAGCAATACTTGATAACTATGTTCTAAAGTAGCAGAATAATGGAATTTAAAGGGAGATAAATTCATTTGTGCTGATAATTTATGATGACCTATGGGCTCTGATTATACACACACACACACACACAAAGATTTGTCATTCAAATTGGTTTAATAAAATGCTGATTGGCCAGTATCCAGGCAGGAAGTATAGGCAGGGTGACCAAACTAAGGATGATGGGAAGGGGGAAGGGTGGAGTCAGGAGTTACCAGCCAGACGCAGAGGGAGCAAAAGATGAACGAACCATGCTAATAAAGGTACTGCCACATGGCAGAGCATAAATAAGGACTATGGGTTAACTTAAAATGTAAGAGCTAGTTTGTAATAAGCCTGAGCTACTGGCCACTGAGCATTTATAAGTAATATTAAGCCTCTGAGTGGTTATTTGGAAACTGTCAGGTGGGAGAGAACTGTCCGTTTACAGTGAGAAATTTACACCACTAAAAATCTTACACAAAGTGATTATGCCCAAAAAGGACTATAGAAAAAATAAAAGTAAAAATCTAAAAAGTGTGCAAGTTACCCACAGAAAAAGAAACACACATGAGCAAAAAAGCAAAATAGGGACTGGAGCCATGGCTCAGAAGGTAAGAATGCTTCCTGTACAAGCCTGAGGACCTGAGTTCAAGTCTCTGGCATCACGTTAAAAAGCCATGCATGGCCACACATGCCTATAACCCTAGCATTGAGGGGCAGAGACAGGCAGCTCCCAAGAGCTCACTAGCTACCTCAGCCAAAATGGTGAACTTTAGGTTCAGTGAGAGACCTTATCTCGAAAGCGTGAGGTCGAGAGCAATAGAGGAAGACATCTGACACTGGCCTCTGGCCTCCATGCACACACATGTGCATATACCCCACATAAGCATGCACACACATGTGCATATACACTCCACACAAACATGCATACACATGTGCATATACACCACACACAAGCATGCACACACGTGCACATATCCCACACACAAGCATGCACACACACATGTGCATATACACCCACACACAAGCATGCACACACACATGTGCATATACACCGACACACAAGCATATACACACACATGTGCATATACACCCCACACAAACATGCATACACATGTGCATATACCCCACACACAGGCATATACATGCACACAGATAAATAATGGCAAATTTAGGCCCTCAGATCTCAACAATCACCTTAAATTTAAGTAGCTTATATCCATAAAGACAGAATTTGGCACAACTGATTAAAAATCATGATTAAGAGCTGGGCAGTGGTGGCACATGCCCTTAATCCCAGCACTCGGGAGGCAGAGCCAGGTGGATCTCTGTGATTTCGAGGCCAGCCTGGGCTACACAGCAAGTTCCAAGCTAGCCAGGGTGACATAGTGAGACCCTGTCTCAAAATAAAAACAAAAAACAAAACAAGTTATTTTTAGAAATTTCGGGGGGCTGGAGAGATGGCTCAGTGGTTAAGAGCACTGGCTGCTCTTCCAGAGGTCCTGAGTTCAATTCCCAGCAACCACATGGTGGCTCACAACCATCTAAAATGAGATCTGGTGCCCTCTTCTGTGTACATAATAAATAAATAAATCTTTAAAAAAAAAAGTAGAAAGAAATTGCTATCAGAGGATAACAGGGAAATCTTTGAACACTTGCAAACAAAACAACACCTTTGTAAATAATCCAGGGGGCAAAGAGAAAGTCACAAAGGAAATTTAAAATATTCTAAATTAGGGGCTGGGGAGATGACTTCATCAGTAAAGTGCTTGCTGCATTTCAGAATGAAGCCCTGAGCTTGAACCCAGCACCCAGATAAAATAGCTGGATGGAGGAGAGTGTCTGTAACCCCAGCCCTGGGAAGCTGGAGGTAGGAAGAGCCCGGGGCCTGGCTGCCCAGCCAGTATAGTTACTTGACAGACTCCAGGTTCTGTGAGAGATCCTGTCTCAATAAAGTGGAGGGGCTGGAGAGGTGGCACCAGCTGCTCTTTCAGAGGACCCAGGTCATTTCCCAGCACCCACATGGTGACTCACAACCGTCTGTAACTCCAGTTCCAGGGCCTCCAATGTCTTCCTCTGCTCTCTGTGGGCACCGGCCATGCATGGGCTGCACAGACACACATGTAGGCAAAACACTCTTATTATGAAATGAAATAAAAGACCTTTAAAATTAAAAAATAAAGTGGACGGTGACTGGGGAAGTCACCTGATGTCAACCTCTGAGTTGTGTGGACTCGGACACATGCATGTGCACATGCACAGATACACACACACTCACAGTTAACTGAATTAAATAAAAAAAAATGCAACATATCAACACTTGGGGGGCCACAAACTTCAATAGTGGTAGATGGGGAAGTTTGTACCATTGAACTCACATATTGGAGAGCAAGAAACTTTCAAATCAACAGTCTTAAGCTCTTATTTCAAGAACTGGGTGGGTGGGGCAAAAATAATTCCAAAGTAAGCAGAAGAAAGAAATATAAAGACAAGAACAGGAAAAAAATGAATGAAATTGGAAACAAAGTAGCAAAAATCAGTGACACACACAAAAAAATCATTAAAATTGACACTCCCCTCACAAAGCTGACAAAAGAAGACACAAACTGCCAGAGTGAAAGGGGGTGTCACCAGAGTCTCTACACACATCAGATGGATAAGGCAATGGTGGGAAAACGCCACACACAAGGCTGGCAAGATGGCCCTGCACATAATGGCGCTGGCCACCAGGCCTGGCCACCTGAGCTTGACCCCCTAAGCCCCACACAGTGGAAGGAGAGGACTGACTCCTGCAGATTGTCCTCTGAGCACCACACTCACACCTCGGCCAGTTCATTTGGGGTGTCTGTAGTGAGCGCCTGTTTATACTGGAGGAGGGTTGGAAAGGAATTGAGAGTCGGAGGTGAGGGAAGGCAGAGCCCGCTCAGGACCAGCCCGCCCAGCACTCCTCTGCAGATGTCTGAGGAGAGCATCACTCCCTCCTGCCCTGTTAACTTCCACGATGGCCGATGGCCCGATGGCCCGCAGTGTTCGGCAACTTGTCAGCCTCCCTCCGTTCTTAAAGGCTGGGATCACTTTCTGGTTGGCCACCACATCAAATCCCATCACAGATGTTTTCTTTTAGCTTCAGATAGGACTATTCTCCTCACTTTTCAGATTTGGGCCCAAGGCCTTTCTTTGTACCTGTCTACACTGACGCCACCATCATCTCTCTTCCATGGCGTACACCCACAACGCCTTCGCTAACATCCTCAGCTGAAAAAAGAAAAATAAAACAGCTTTGTATTTGTTGATCTCACATAAGAAATTCAAATACGTTATACTATCTTTCACAATATCCCCTTTAATTTTAAAACCCTCCCCACCTCCCTACCCCGTCTTTCAGCTTGGACCTCCTCATCAGGGACTGAAAGCTGGAACGTGCTAAGGAAGCAGTGTGAGCACAGAGTCCTGGCGGGTCTTGGATCCCCCACTCGTTTCCCCTGCGTCTCACCACGTCTCACCACGTCTCACCAGTGGGTAATTGTAATTCGATACAAACTTTAAGCAACCTACTGTTGTGAAAGCTTCGCAAACAGCGTTAGTTTTTCACACATATTTTATTGGTTTCTATGACATTTAGTTAAATTATCTAAGAATAATATGTGCAGCTGGCATAAACAGGCTGAGTTTAAAGCAAATGACTCTTGGTGAGCATGCCACTCAACCAAACAGGGAGGGAGTTTGCACAGTGCATGAAATCCTGGCTGTGAGCATTTGATGAGCCATGAGTATGGGCGGTGTGTTCCACACAGGATGGATGGTATCCCTTAAGCCAGTGAGCCAGGGAAGCACAGGTTGTTCTAAAAGTTGTCTTGATATCAATAATAATGACTAAAACTTACTGAAGGCCGCTCTTGCAGGCACCATGCGGGGTGCTTCTGGATGCCCTCAATCAGGGGTTGCCTGAAGAAGGTCTCACTGGCCCCATTTTGTAGATAAGGAAAGGGAGGCTCGGTGGAGTTTCACCCTTCCCAAAGCTCAGCTTTGTGTCTGACTTAAAACCTGCACTTTTACACACGGCTCGGTGAGCAAGTGAACGCAGAGGGTGGGAAGGTCTGGAAGTTGGGGGACGTTTTCCCAGGGTCAGGAAGTGTCCCTGAAAGACCGATGGGCTGAGTGTGAGTGGTTTCCTGAGATGAGAGAGAAGTGTGAAGGAGAAGGTTAGGGGTCCTTGGGAGCCGGGGGAGTCCCGTAGCGGGTGCTAGAGGATGCTCACACCCGGTGCCGGGACACGTCAGTCCACTTCTCACGTTCATCCTGTCTGGGCTCAGTCAGCAGCGGCTCCTTCAGTTCGAGTCTGTCTGCTTTTATTTCAACAGAATCAGGCTGGAATTTTATTTATTACATTTGTTTATTTGATTGGGTGTGTGGCGCCTGTTCCCTGTGCATATGCGGAGGTTGGAGGACAGGTGGTCAGTTCTTCTCGCCCTCCACCACACAGGTCCCTGGGGATTGAACTCGGGTCGTCAGGTTTGGCAGCCAGTACCTTTACACAGAGTCATCTTGCCAGCCCTGGGTAAATTTATTTTTAATCATACTTATAGGATAAGGAGGGAAACAGAGCTACTCTCTCAATGTCTGTCCCTGATGGCCACATAGGAACAGCCCAGCAGTTGACCCGTGGGGCAGAGTGGATCAGGTATAGTAAATTTAGTCTGGCATCATGGCTGCACCAGGAAGTTCCATCTTGAGCTTCCTTTTGAACTGTCCTTGCTGAGTGTCCATCCTCTGGGCAGCTACCTACCTCCTACCTCAGAGCTGCTGATGCCCTGGCCCCAGACTCCCAGGAAGACGTCAGACCTGGCTCATCCCCTTGGTGTACATCCCCTCTGTCCTCCCCATCAGGCCCCAGCCTGGGCAACAAACCCCAAAGAGGCTGAGTTCCCTTCTAGACCTGTTCCTTCCTGCCCTGTTAAGCCGTGTTACCCAACTCCTGGCTGCGGTCCAAGCCTGGTTTCTGGGAGAACTGGGCTTTTGATGCTGGCTGAGGTTTGGGTAAGTTCTGCCTCTGCCCAGAACTCAGCAGCGGTATCGATCGGCTCCTGTGTCTGCTCACCACAGCATCCTCAGCACCTAAAGCGGTTTGCTATGCAAGCAAATGCTATTTCCTGTTATCAGTCAATCAGTGACTGAACCCCTTTGGGTTTGGAAAGTCTAAGCTCTTAGCCATGGCATTTCACCTGCTGTATACGGATGGCTCTTTCCCCACACTGTGTGTCGAGCAGGCTGACACTGCTCCCATGACTCCTGTGGATAAACAAGTGGTGTCACCCTGCCACCCATTTCCTTCATGCTGTCAATGGGTGCATGCTTCATGGTTCCCAGAGGAGATGTTTTGGCTTCTTGTTTCCATAGATTACCCATTATAAAAATGTTCTTCTTTCATGGTGGCCACGTGAGGACAGACTGCCTTCTTAATACCCATGCTTACGCCCGTGGACTGGTACTGCTATCAAACTTGGTCCAAGAAACTTCTTCTTTTTTTTTTTAAATGGTCAGTGGTTACTGAAGAAACTTATAATTGATCAAAGAGCTGAGAATAAGTGACTGTGTGCGCTCAGCCCTAAATGGATATCAACTCCCCCTCAAGGCTCAGGGAACACTGACTAAGAGGAGACAGAATAGTGCTTCAAGATGCTGTCTTCAGGACAGAACTCAACAGCTGTGCTTATTTGCACAAGACCTGCGCAAGAACAAGCCAGACAACACTCCAGCATGGATGGGGAGGGGCTGATGAGGTCCCAACCCCCAGCTGTCTGCACTGTTAACAGTTGATTGTCAATTTCCTTTGGGGGTGTGACTGCTGGGGCAGCACTAACCTACTCAGTGAATTACAAGGAAAAGGGCATAGAGCTGAGATGAGGTGTGTTGGAGGGGTCTGGTTGGAGTGCGGGGTGGGTAATGATCAGGATACACTGCACACATGGATGAGATTGTCAAAGAATAAGTATATTTTAAATTAAATAAAACCATTTAAACCCTGTCTATACTTGTTCTGTCTTCTTTTTGATTATGTATTTGACCACAGAAGACTTTTCTCATGTAACACCTGTTTAGAGCCTGTCCTAGTCAGTCTGTCCAGGCTGCTGTGAAGTCACCCTCAAGCTTGTACTGGTTATAAACAATAGGCATTGATTGCTCACGGTTCTGGAAGCTACAGAGTCCAAGGTCAGGGTGCCTGCAGCTTCACCATCTGATGAGGGCCTGCTGCTCTCTGTGCTTCAACAAAGTGCCTCGTGCCCGGCTTGATGGCAGGTCTGAACCCAGCACTCAGGAGGTGGAGGCAGGAAGACTGGGAGTTTAAGGCCAGCAGAGCTACAGGAGACCCTGTCTCAAAAAATAAAATAACAACAGCAAAAACAAAGATGGAGGCTTGGCGCTGTGTGGTCATGTGGCAGAAGGGCTGGTGGCAGTGGTCACGTGGCGGAAGGGCTGGTGGCAGTTCCTCCTTTATCTGTTGTAATTAGATTAGTGAAGGCAGAGCCCTCATGATGCAACCCCTCCCCAAGGGCCCAACTTCTGAACACGCTTGCATGAGGTACTGCTTTAACAAAGAATGGAAACATAAAACAATACAGCTCCAGCACAGTGAGCTTTTGTTACCTAGTCAATGAAATACATACTGTCTATAATAGGGAATAAAATACGAATAAAGTACGAATACTGTTTATATTTACTGAATTCTTTTCTTTTTTTTCAAGACAGAGTTTCTCTGTGCAGCCTTGGTCATCTGAGAACTTGCTCTGTAGATCAGGCTGGCCTCGAACTCACAGAGATCCACCTGCCTCTGCCTCCTGAGTGCTGGGATTAAAGGTGTGAGCCACTATCCGGCTATTTACTGGATTCTTTTTTTTTTTTTTTGTATATGTGTGTGTGTGTGTGTGTGTGTGTGTGTGTGTGTGGTGTTGTTGATGATGATGGCAGCTGTTAATGGCTAGGCTTACAACCAAAAATATTTCCTAGATTCTTAAAGCGTGTTCAGCAAAGACCTGGGCAGCCCTTACTTTATACCATGTTTTCTGCCAGCTGTTGGGGGCAAGGAAGACACATAACAAACCACAACAACCACTCCTGTGAAGTAAAGAAAGTAACTGTGTTCTTAATGCTGTGGAAGAGACACAGTCTGTGCTACGAGAGTGTGAAATACGGTAGAAGCCTCCTCCGGTCGGGCCAGTCTCAAAATCAGTCTGCTACCCACACAATGAGCAAATGAGTGTGCAAAGTGGGGATGGAGAGCGTGTGTGTGTGTGTGTGTGTGTGTGTGTGTGTGTGTGTGTGTGTGTGTGTGTGTGTGTGTATGGCGCTGTAGCCACAGACCAAAGGCTATTCCAGGAGTAGAAAACAGCATATGTAAAGGAACCAGTGAAGTCGGAATACTATGAGGACCCAGGAATGAACAAAAGTCATATCATGCTGACCTCCAAGGTCAAGTTAACATTTTGAGTTTTATCCTAGGAGCAGAGGGAGTTGTTAATCTAACAGAAAATGCAGACTCAGTCAGCCGGTCAGTTAACACGGCTTTTTACCCGAAGTTGTTCCTTTGTGTGGCACTTTGTGTTTTATAAAATATGTCCCCAGTGTCACCTTATGCCTCCCCTGCTTCAGCCCTCTGGGTGACAAAATCCTATTGATACAGATGGGTAATCTAAGACTCAGAGATGTAAATAACTTGCCCAAGGCTGCACAGTGAGCCAGCCGGGGGTGGGGTGGGGCACATTTACATCCTGGCCACACTTCTAAGGCTAGTCATGCGGAGGAAGTGCTAGCTCTTCGGGGCTTAGGCCTGGAGTCCAGGTCCTGGCTAGAAGTGAAGCCCTTCAGCAAAGGATTGTACAGGACACTGTTTAACCACTTTGACTAAAAGGCTGCAGATTGGGAGTTCAAATTCCAGCTTGGCAAATCCTGATCAGCCAGGAGGCTCTGACCAAGTTGCTTAACCTCTTTGAATCCCTCAAGCCTTAGGTGTGAAATGGGCTGATCACACTAACTCATGGGGTGGCTGCAACAGTTCAATGGAATGGTGGATGTTAACATATCTGACACATAGCAGGAACTCAACAAATACCAGCACATTTCCATTTTTAAGGAGAGAAAATAGGCTTCCTCACGTGTTGTCGGTGTAGGATACACTGAATGTAGGAGTTAAATGAGGCTCAAATCCCTTCATAACAGGGTTCATTGTATGTGAAATGGGTTGCATCCCCGTGCAGTTTGCAATGGTGTTGAGGAGGGTGAGGCCTGGGGTTCTTCTTGGTAAGGAGGCTCCTGCTCTCAACCTGATACTTCTTCCTTCTCGTCTGTGGAGGGAGTTCTACAGACAGCAATTGCTCAGGAGCTGAGTGCAAGGGTGTGATTCTGGTGTCCTCCCAAGGGACATTGTATAGTGGCCTTGAGAGCAGTCTAAGAGGACAAGAGCCTCAGGAAGCAACATTTAAAGGTCTCAGAGGCGGCCGGGCAGTGGTGGCGCACACCTTTAATCCCAGCACTCGAGAGGCAGAGCCAGGCAGATCTCTGTGAGTTTGAGGCCAGCCTGGTCTACAGAGCGAGATCCAGAACAGGCACCAAAACTACACAGAGAAACCCTGTCTCAAAAAAAAAAAAGTTCTCGGAGGCTTGTTAAATATCCACGGAACAGTGATGCCAGGGACTAGGGATGTAGCTTTGTCGATATAGTGCTTGCTGAGCACACACGACATCCTGGGTTTGATTCTCAGCATTATATAAGCTGTGTGTGGTTCAGCACACCTATAATCCCAGCCCTTGGGAGTTGGCACAGAGGATCAGATGCCTAAGATCATTCTCAGAGAGTTCAAGGCCAGCTGGGATATGTAAGATCCTGCCTGGTTTGGGGGCGTTGGTTGTTTTTTCTTTAAAAAAAATTTTTTTAAGCTCACCTAGGGTATTGAAGAAGGAATAATAATTAGTTTGAGAGTTCAGAGCACAGAGAACATGTGTGAATCTCAGGTCTGAATATCCTTGACCATGCATGATCTTTCTAATCTAGGCCAGCATGGACCTTCATGGGAGCCTTCACCCACCTTGGGGCTCGAAAGCATTCTAAGAAACTAGCATAGAAACTATAGGCCATAAGCTTTCCTGGCTCACTTTGCATATTTCTTTGATCTTGAAAAAAGGGCCTGCTAGATAGAAATGGGTGATGGGTTTAATGAGGGCCTCAAAGAAAAGAAGACTGTTGTAGAATATTATTTTAGGGTGTGTTACTTTAGTTTATGTTGCATTTGTTTAACTCTGTGAAGCTGTGTTACTTTGCTTGTCTAAAAGAACTGCACAGTCAATAGCAAGGCAGGAGAAAGGCTAGGCAGGGTTGGCAGGCAGAGAACATATAGAAGGAGAAATCTGGGAGGAGGAAAAAGAAGTAGCCCGAGAAAGAGGAGGACTTCAGGGGTCAGCCACTCAGCTTCACAGCAAGCCACAGAGTAAGAGTAAGATTTACAGAAGTAAGAGAACAGGAAAAACCCAGAGGCAAAAGACAGATGGGTTAAATTAAAGAAAGCTGGCAAGAAACAAGCCAAGCTAAGGCTGGGCATTTATAATTAAGAATAAACCTCTGTGTGTGATTTATTTGGGAGCTGGGTGGTGGGCCAAGAGTAAAATCAAACAACAAGAGCAGACTATTGGATATTCAGGAATTCCTGGTTATACCATGACCTGCAGCCTGAAGTACATGTTGAATGGTGACTGAGCAAGCAAACACACACACACACACACACACACACACACACACACACACACACACACCCAAAAGTTTCATTAAGTGGTACCTTACTATATATGTGATGCACTCTGGTATTTGATTTTCTATTTGATTCTCTTTCATTAAATTGATTTCCTGACTGCTAACAGATTGCAACCTGTACTTTAAGAAGCATTGGCCTAATAGATGATTTGTCCTTGGAGGTGATTGAGGAAGGCGCTGTTCCTGAATAATGAAACTCGGATGGGTGATGCCAGAGACCGAGCTGCCCGACTGTGCACTTTAAATGCGCATAACAGAGCCGTACAATCAGATTTTCTGTCACCCCTGGACATTAGGACTTAAAATAATAAAAACAATAACAATGTGAAGAATTGTTTCAATGTGAACAATATTTACTACTGGATCCAGTCACTGCAGAGAATGGGGCTAGGTACTTGAGTTGGGTAAGAGTATGGACAGACCCTAGAGGAGTTCATAACCTAGTGAGAAAAATGAATTGGGTGGAAGTGTGAGGGGATGTCAGGTAACTAGGGTGACATCTTGACTTTGAAATAGCGACATTATGGAGTAATAATTGTACATAGGACACCTTTAAATATATCCAGTGTAACGACTGGAAAAACATACAACCACATTCTAAAGCAGTACACAGAAGTCCCTCTGTGCAGGGCTGAAGAGAATCAATTCACAGTGCTTAAGGGATGGAACTTAAGGGGAGGTTGGTGGGCTCGGGAGCCAACAATGTATCACAGGAGCTAGCGTTCAGGAGTGAGGAAGACAGAGTGAGCCACGCCTCTGCGGGCGTGTGAGGAAGCTAGAGCAGGGCTCCCTTCAGGAGGCCAGGAGCCATCAAGTATTACCAGCTCTGTGGAGGAGCTGGAAAGCTTTCCTCCCTGATGGATATGCAGCGTGAGAAGGTTTTGTCTTTGAGACCTAGAGGTGGACAGAGTCATCCTTGACCTTCCCCGGCCTATGTCACAAACACAGAGTGAGGTCAGCATCTCACTACGCACAAGAGGTGGGACCCTCAATTGGAGAAAATAACAAATAAACTTGTCTATAGATGGTGAACCCACAGGGTTCAACATGGTGCTTCTCCACGGCCAATGCTATGCAAGTCTCCACAGGAAACTAACTCCTGGTGGAGACAAGTTTACAATAAAAAATTGCAAACTACAGGAGGCCATGAGCCACTGTGAGAAAGGCTACAAACAACTTCGGTGGGGAAGTTATATACGCTTTACTGTTATTGACACAATGACTAGGT